TCCTGTCAATAGTGGCTCATACTCAGCCTCATTATTAGATGTTTTGAATCCCAATCTGATAGCTAGCTCTACTGTTAATCCTCTGGAACTGGTTAGCACTATGCCTATCCCTGCCCCCTTGCGTTCGAGGACACATCTATATGTAGGTTCCCAATGTCATCATCAAAAGCTATCACCTTTGTGGGGGCTCGAACACAGAGAACTTGGCAAGAATCTGCCCTTTAATTGAAGTGTGGGGTTTGTACCTTATTTCGAACTCTCCGAGTTCCACATCCCACTTGAGAACCTTTTCAGAAATGTCAGCTTTATGAAGAATGGGTTTGAAGGGCCGATCGGTCAAGACTTCTACGGCGTGCGCCTAAAAAAAATGTCTAAGTTTCCTCACTGAGATTACCAATGCTAAAATAAGCTTCTCCATCGGCAAGTATCATGTTTCGGCGTCCAACAAGATCTTGCTCACGAAGTAGATGGGCCTTTGTGCCCCTCGCTCTCCCTTAATAGGGCTCCACTAATGGCTCCTTTCGAGATAAACAAGTAGAGGTTTAGTACGTACCCGTCGTTGGGACAAACAAGGTTGGAGGAGACCTCAGGTATTCCTTAATCCCATCATGCACGTAGCCACACTCCTCGCCCCAAGTTCCCCTTGTCGCCCCTTTAAGCATGGCGAAGAACGGCTTGCACCTATCCGAGGATGTGGAGATGAATCAGTTGAGGGTCGCTAGCATTCCAGTCAATTTCTGGATGTCTTTAGTGGTCCTCGACACCTGGATATTTTGCACGGCCTCCACTTGCTCGGGGTTGGCTTCAATGCCTCTATAGGTGACCAAGTACCCCAAGAATTTGCCCGAGTTTATTCCAAAAGCACACTTTGAGGCATTAAGCTTTAGATCGTACCTTCAAAGTATGGCGAACATGGTCTCGAGGTCCCGAAGATGATCAAAAGTTTTCCTTCTTTTAACTAGCATGTCATCTATATATACTTCCATAGTGATGCCCAACTGCTCCTTAAAAATCTTATACATCTGACCCTGGTAAGTGGTGCCAGCTCTTTTCAGTCTAAATAGCATCACCATGTAGCAATAGATCCATCAGGGCGTAATGATCGCTGTTTTTTTTTATCTGATTCGTGTAAGGGAATTTGGTGATACCCGGCTCGAGCATCCATGAAGGAGATACACTCGTGACCTGCAGTCGCATCTACGAGCTAATCGATATTTGGAAATGGATACTCATCCTTGGGGTACGCTTTATTCAAGTCTTTGAAATTTACGCAAACTCACAATTTCCCTTCTTTTTTCTTAGCACACATTGTGTTCGATAACCATTGAAGGAATTGCACTTCTCTGATAAAGCCAGCCCCCAACAAGTTATCCACCTCTTCATCTACGGCCTTTGCATGATGAGGCGGCGTTCTTCAAGCTTTCTGCCTCACGGGCTTGAAGGACGAGTCCACATGAAGCCGATGAATCATTACTTCGGCACTTATACCCGTCATCTCAGTTTGGGTCCATGCAAAGACGTTAATGTTTTGACGCAAGAACAATATCATGTCAGACTTCTCGGCACCGCCTAATGATGCCCCTATTAAAAAGTATCTCTCCTCGTCCTCGGGATTTAGAAAAACTTTGACCAAGGCCTCGGTGGATCAATCGACTAGTTTTGTAATGGGGTCGTCCAGACCAAGTCGACCAAACTGTGATTGTTATTTAACCATCACTGCCTCGGGATCACGATCTTGAGCTCAACTACTAACTCCAATTTTTACTACAATGTAACAACAACTTTCAATGTTTGCCTAAACGCCACAAATCTCCATGACACCCCTCGGAGTGGGGAACTTAATCTTCTAATGATAGGATAAGTGTACTGCCTTCATTACGTGCAATCATGTCCTGCCCATGATGCCATTATACAGCAAATTCGAGTCTATCACCACGAATTCTACTGTGACGCTAACGACCCCGACACTGACCATAACAGTAATCTTTCTAAGGGATAGGGCGCAAGAACAATTGCAACCTATGAAGAGGTCCTTACTGGCTCTAGGTCTTTCTGGGTGAAACCCATCTTATGAAAGAGATTGTCGTACATGACTTTGAAAGAGCTACCCGAGTCCACCAAAATCCTTTTGACATCAAATTTTTCGACTCAAAGGGTAATCATCAAAGCGTCTTCATACAAGATTACAAGCCCGTCCAGGTCGATATCGAAAAGTGGATGGTGTCGGCGTCAGTCTACGGCCTTTTAGACAATTATTCCTCACACCTGCTCTCCACTTTCACTGCTTGTGAGACCCTCTAAAGGTCGGCCCTAAGGGAATTATACGTCGGTCTCTCGACCGTGCAAGTGTGTATGACTTCAATCACAATTGCTGCTTCTTGAGGCACGTTGCCTCCTCCTCCCGCCAAGTCTTTGGGAGGTTTCTAGTCAATAAACTCCCCTAGATGCCCGTCTTGGACCAATTGTTCGAGGAAGGACTTGTACACCCTACAATCTTTAGTTAAATATCCTACATCCCTATGATAAGAACACCAAGACGTCCAATCTTTCATTGATGAGTCTCCTTGCATCTTAGGGGGCATTTAAAGAAAGACTCCCATTTTTATCTTATGCAACATCTTATAGATGGGCTCTTTAAAGACCGTGTTCATTCCTTAGAAGGACAAGTGGCTCGAAGTCGAGGTGGGTGGGTGTCGCTCTCTTGGCAGGTGGTTCTTTCTCTTTTCTCCTCGATGTTGGGGACCTATTCTCAAGCATCGTAGACTTTTCTTCCACCCTGGCGTACTTGTTTATTCAAGCCATCAGGTCATTCATGTCTTTCGTGGCTCATTTAGTGAGTGACCTATACATGTCGGTGTCTCGAGACAATCCCAGGCGAAATGTTGCTACTCCCATGACCTCCGAGCATGCACTGACCTCGTTGACTTCCTCCCAATATATGATTGTGTATTATCGAATGAACTATCCACTTCTTCGTTTAAGTGTCAACAACGCGTTGATGTCTTTCAACCTCTTGCTACTGGTAATGAATCAAGCTACAAAGAGCTCGGTCATTTGCTTCTAGGATCTGATACTTTTTGGAGCTAAGTTCTCGTACCATTTTATCGCAGTGTCCCCTAAGCTCATGGAAAAAACTCAGCACAATAGTCTTTGATTAGTATCACAAATGGACATCAGCTACTTGTACTGTTGAAGATAGCCCTTGAGGCCTGCCCTCCCATCATAAATCTTGGATCGGGAGACGATGAACTTCTTTGGCATTTCGGTCTCGTGGATTGCTTGCATGAACAAGGAGATGATTTGCTCGTCCTCGTCTTCATCCCTCTCAAGGTGGGGCTTCCAGCACTTGGCATCCAAGCGCACTCGGTAGTCTTCTCGGAGCCTCATTTTTTCAAGCCCCCTCGCTGTGGACTTGGTGTGGGACTCGATTGTTGCAGCCCCCTTAACAGTTTGTGGCGAAGATCTCACCCGGGCAAGCCTGTCCTATGGTGATCCCACTTCGATATTTCATTGGGAGCGGGTTTTCCCCAGCTACGTGGGTTGTGCCTCTTGGCCGTGCGCCAGCGCAAGCTCCTTCCGGGGGCATCTAACCTTGTACCCGTGGAATCGTCTTGGCTGAAACTTCAATTTTCACGCTTACTACTACGCCAATTGGCACTCCCCGATTACTCGAAATCATCGAGCCGATTACACCTTGGCATTATCCTTCACAAGTTACTTAGGCAGTTTCCCATCTGCTTTTCCACTAACTCAACAATTTCTTGAGTTGGAAGGTCTTGCCTCCCAATTTTTGATTTACAGGGAACGTTCACTGCAAGGCATGCTCGCCTCCTTCGGACTAGCTCAAGAAATCTAACTTTGTGACTACTGGGAGCCGGGTATCTCACGCGTAAGCTTCCCCCATCACCTTGGAATCATGTGTTCACCATGATACGATCGCTATAGGGAAAGTTCGTATGTTTCCCACAGACGACACCAAATTGCACAGGAGTTTTCCTGCAATGAATAGAGAAAGCAAGCCTATCGACGATGAACCTAAAACAACCAATAGGTCAGAAAAGGAGCCCGGTGAACACCCGACTTATCCCCTCCGAAACTTAAGTCAGTAGAATTTTGGAGGGTTGAGCACAATGTTTTCGTTTTCTCTGTTTAGTTTGCATACTTTTGTTCATGTTTCTGAGGGATATTTATACTTGTACCAATAATGAGTGCAAGGGTCTTGAGTTTCATCACGACATTAAGTAGTTTACACTCTTCTCCACGTGTAATGAGTGTTCTTCACTCAGATCTTTACAAGTATTCAATGCTCGGGTGATAGCATAAGTGCTCGAGGGCACGCCGAGCACTTATGACTATCCCCGGGTATTCAAGTTTCCCTGATCGGTGTCTAACACCTATTTCCGAATGTTTCATGCTCTGGCTATACTGTCTCAGGATTTGTCGAGAACACATGGTAGACATAACGACAATTCAGGCTTCGCAATTATGACTGTCAACTTGGGGTCTCGAGGATGCAGAGGCTCATTAATAGTCCTGTCATAGTCACTCAAATCTTCATAAATGAGATGTCATGTCTCTTTAATTGTTGCTGCGTCTATACACTCGGTTCTGTTAAGCCATTATTTTTCGACGCCATCTCTCGACACCTTTTGAGTTTCATAACGGTGACATCTTTTCACATATCAATTGGAAGCTGCTAAGTCACTTAAAGTCCCGCCAGTTAGATATGGTATAAGTTAAAAATAATGAGTAGAATCTCAACCTGAAATATTCTGAAAAAAACTGATGTGTTCTGTTGAAAAGGAGTTTTGGCAGTATCTTCATTCGTTGTTCGGTGTCATTTTCTCTATTGATTGCCTCTTGTCTGTTTAGTGATATGACCGGGTTGTATGATTGTAGAGGCGGCCATTATGGAGGGTCCCGAGAAGGTGACACAAAAACTAGTAGGACCTCCTGGAGTAGTGAATTTAGGAGAAGGTAGGCTCCTCGCATTGCCTGTCACGATTATTGTATGGTAAAGGTGCTCTGCATTTACTCGTTTGAACAAGTGGGTAGGGGGATTTTTCATAGACACCAATTGGAATTTTTGGACCTACCCGAGTTCAGACAAAAATGCTTCTCATATAACCACTAGTGCTCGACTCTTCTTATCCTTGTACATTCTAACAACCATGTCAATTTCCTTTTAGCAGTATCTCAGTTCTCATCAGCCCTGCAACATCATCAAGTAAACTCGTAAAGTCTCTTCTTTTAATCAATTTTCCTTCACTCATGGGTTCATACAATTTCTTCATTCAATCAATTTGTCCATCCATTTTTATTGTATTCTTATTAGGATATCCAGATTTGATCGAATCAGCTGCCAAGAAGGGCATCAATACTGGACCTGTAATCGACGTCACCAAACATCTATCTTTTCTTGATTTCAGCTCCAACACCACCCCCCGAGTCAATAACGATGTTAAGCTACTAGGCAGTGCCATTATCTCAGAAGAAAATGGCTGTGTCCAGATACCCAATCACTCACCGACGATTGATCTCAGACATCTAGCAGGACGAGCAATTTATTCATCTCCAATACGCCTTTTTGATCCACTCACTGAAACTCCAGCTTCCTTCGAAACAACTTTTTCTTTTCAATTCGAAACTACCTCGACAGAGTCTTCTTTGAATAACAGGTCATCGGATTTTGGTGGTGGAGGTGACGGTGGCCACGGCCTTACCTTTATTCTCGTTCCCGACGAATTCACCGTCGGACGGCCGGGTCCATGGCTGGGGATGCTCAACGACGCTTGTGACGAAGACTATAAAGCCGTTGGAGTTGAGTTTGACTCCTACCATAACCCAGAATTTGGAGACCCAAACGACAACCACGTGGGTATCAATCTAGGCAGTATAGTTTCAACCACTACCATCAACGCCTCAGACGTTGGAATTCATCTCAAGGACGGCTCAATCCACAGAGCTTGGATTACATACGATGGTCTTCGCCGATATATCGACGTCAGACTCGGGTCTGACGGCAAAGACTCCACCTCCAAACTAGTCTTCTCTGGTCCTCTTGATATCGCACCTTTCTTGAACGAGTACATGTTCGTCGGCTTCTCTGCTTCCACCGGAAATCACACACAGGTACATAACGTGTTTTCATGGAATTTCACGTCGATGAGTCGAGCTTCTCTTCGCATCCCTTCCACAGAAACCTGCGAGAGCAAGATCATCGTCCATGGCGATGAACATGGTGAAAGCTCTATCAAAAAAGCACCAAGCAGCTTCTTGATATTCCTAGCCGTAGTAGTACTTCTCCTAGCTGTCTTGCTTAATCTTTACCTCAACCGCAAGCGAAGAGAGAGGAAACCAGAAGATTTTGTACTTCCGGAGAAAAAGCAACGGCCGAGACCACCCAATAAGCCTCGCCGATTCACCATAGCCGAAATTTTCACAGCAACTCGGTCGTTTAGCGAGTTACAGAAACTGGGTAGTGACACCAGAGGCGTTACATATAAAGCCAACATGTTGAATGGCTGCAACGTGGCCATGAAGCGGTTCTCAACTCAGTTTTTCAATTCCCATGGATTGGATAGGAGAAGAGTGGCCAAGGAAATTAAAGCAATCAGTCGAATTCGTCATCCCAATTTGGTTCCGATTAGAGGATGGTGCTTTGATCATCGAGAAACCATAGTTGTGTACGATTATCTTCCAAACAGTGGTCTCGACAAATGGGTCTTCGGCGTTGGTGTTTTGCCTTGGACTCGACGATTCAAAGTTGCTAAAGACGTAGCTGAAGCGCTGAGTTACCTCCACTCGAAACAACTCGCTCACAAGAACATGAAAACCAGTAGCGTTTTTCTTGACGTTAGCTTCAGAGCTGTTCTTGGCGACTTTGGATTTGTGCTGGGCTCGTCCGACTCAACACGGTTTGAGTCGGCTGTGAGTCAGACGGCGGACGTTTTTGATTTTGGGGTTTTTGTATTGGAGCTTGTTGCCGGAAGAGAGAGGAGGTGTGACATTGATGGTGTTAGATCGGACTTGCTGGACTTGGCATGGGCTATGCATGAGAGAGAGGAGAAGGTGAAGGTGGTGGATAGGAGGATGGGTTCGTTGGTGAACTCGGAGCAAGCTGTTCGAATTCTTGAAATTGGGCTGCTTTGCACCTTGAATGAGAACAAAGGGAGGCCAACCATGGAGGAGGTGGTGGAGTTTCTGAGTTTGGAGAAACTAGTTCCTGAGTTGCCACCGAGTCGACCCATTGCTTTGTTCCCTTACAGCAGCACCACAGGTCTATGCAGTGGGTACTCTTGCGCCCCTTTCAAGTGAAGCCAAATCCTGCTTCTGAGAAAATTTTATTTTTTGTACTGTGTAATAATTATGATAAATTAAATGTAAGGTTACGATTCAGTCTTATAAAATTACGATAGAATAGCATAGTAAGAGAATTTTTTTTTTTGATTTGACGATTATAGGTGTTTGGATTAGTTTATACATATCTTAACTAATTTCCTCCTAAATCTGGTCAAAAGTAAGTCATCTACGCTGAGATTAAAGTATTTATAATGAATAAATTTCTCACGCTCCGATCTCAAAAAATTGTCAAGATTTGAATTTACAACATCTAAATTTATATCTCGTCATTATTACCACTAAACTAACAGGAAGTAAGCAAGCAACCGCACTTTAAAAACTCACTTGTTTGAGATCGAGCTTAATATTTAAATCAAATGAATTTTAACTAACGATGTAATATCAAACTTAGTATTTTAATCACTTAACCAAAAAAAAGAATAATACTATATGAATATAAAAAATAGACTTGATAATTTCAACCATTGAATATGTAATGAGTCTCAATAAATGTTGGGACCTACAGTAAAATTAATTGTTGAAATTATTAAGTCTATTTTTTAAGTCCATGTAGTATTATTCAAAAAAAAAAAAAAATCTTGGTAACTTTTTAGTTTGGCATCAACAAAGAAACATCCATTAATTACTCCAAATTATACTGTGACAATGAACATGTATAATCGTGTCAAGCTCCTACTAACGTAGTAATAATCTTGATTGAAGGATAGAAATGTCATTTCCCCGAACACTTGTATATTTGGATAATCGATTTGATTGAAATTTTAATTCGGCTGAAACCCAATAGTACCGATCTAAAAAACAATTCTTATGATGTTTAATAATTAGTTTTTCTTTCAACAATGCTATGTATGGCAAAAGATTTATCAAAAATAATTTTACAAACGAGGTTACAGGTTCTATGTCTAGATGATAGTAATTTTGATTCAGAATGAAATTTTAATTTCTAAATCTTATTTATTCTATTATGGATAGTCGACTATTCAATAATTTCAGTCGATAATAAGATTAGTAGAGAAAAAAAATAGTATTATAGTAATTTTCATGAAAAAAAATTATAGTTGGATATTTGAGTTAGTATCAAATACTTTCTTGATTGGCTAAAATAATTAGGTTTTAATAATATTTAGATCTAATTTATTGATGAGATCACTCACTTTTATTAAATTGATAATGAGTTCTGGTCATGGCCGGCTCAACCATATATTCAAAAAAGTATGGGCTTTAAGCCATACACATTAAAAAGGCTCCAAATTTTAGAGTTTAATAATGAGATATAGATAAATGATTAAAACTTAAAACTCATTATAATTTAGCTTAATAAAAAAACTCCTGCAGCTCTCATCAGATGATTTCAATTTCAAAAAAACAAAAGGAATTCAGACTCACACATAGACTGTCATACAGAAAGAGAGAGAGAGAGAACCTAGGATGCGTGTGGCTTGTGGCTTCGAAGATAAGGAAGTGAGAGTCTGTGAGACTCGAAGAGAAGGAGGCACTAGGGATCAATTGAGAAGAAGAAGAAGACAGAGGTGAGAGTCTCTGAGACTCGAAGAGGAGGAGGTGCTAGGGATCAATCGATTGAGAAGAAAAAGAAGGAAGAATGGAGGGGGATGCGCTCGAAATTTTAGGATTTTTGTGTACAAATTAACATGTATATATTTTTAAAAAAATATTACATGTGGGTAGAGTCGAGTCAGATTGGAATGCAAAAATTTTGTGGCTATTTTGCATTCCTACCTAAAAAACCAAAAATCCTTTCATTAGCCGTTGATTTTTACGAAAGCCAGACAATTAGGTTTGGTAGGGTCGAAATTGGTCAAGTATACAAAAATTTGAACATCCCTACTAGAAAGATTAAGTCAACAAAATAAAATTTAAAATTTAAGTTGAAAAATATAGTCCACTTCACACACATATTTTAAATGATAGAGAAAATGGGTTAACACTTGGATAAAAAAATATAATAAGTGATGATGCACAAAATAGTCTCATGCAAGATCAACAGTCGAGTGTGTTTTAAAATATTAATAGAGCAATCAATGACAATAATGTAAATATTGAGTCAACACACAGATATATAGTGATTCGGTCCGGATAACCTACTCCACTCTGAAAAATGACAACGGTGGCAAGAGTTCTTTATTGATGAATAAAGTAAGAGGGAGAAAAATTATGTGTGTGTAGGGAGGTGTAGATATAGAGCTCAATGTGTCCTCTCATGTAGAGAAGACTTATAATTTATAGGCACAAGGTCTTGGTTAAGGCGGTGATTTAAGGGCAAAGGTACTAATTATTCGGACGTCTACAAAAGATAATTGTCATAAAAGATTGTCTTGATCTTCAAGAGAGAGTATTCCGATAATTGCTCCTCATGTGCTCTAATTCTTCTTGGACTCTTTGGAACTTGTGTTGGGTTGAATTTGCAAACTGGGGTCAACCTGCCTTTTAGTTGATTTAGACTTACTGGATTTATTGGGTCTGATCTAATTAGATTTGAGCTCGTCAATAAGTATATCTCTTCTATAAGTAAAAATAAATCAAACACATATTCTATTTTTCTTAAACTTGATTTTGTTCCCGTTTAAATATAAAAACACCAACTAATTAAATTGTTTATTTTTATAAAGGATCCACAATAAAAAATAATTAATATCAAAAAAAAATTCAATCAAGTTATTATCAAGAAAAATAAAACATAATAAAATAGTAGGTGAACGTTACATACATAAACAAGTTAAGGATCATAAAAAATAGTAAAATAATTCAATAACAAGGAATTGCAAATGTATATTGATAGTCGATTTTGTAATATCACAATTTTAATGAACAACATACAAAACAAATAAAAAGAACATAAAAACAGTAATAAAACAATAGAATATATCATAAAAAGTGCAAGTCAAGTAAGAGATAAAAAAGATAAATAGATATGCATATTTGTTTGCCAAAAAATGTGTATTTAGTCAAAATGATCTATATATATTTACAATTCCTATAAATTATATTATTGAACAGTTGTACGCAAATAACATGTATATTAAATAACACATGTAATGTTTAATATATCTTATATGCCTAAATTACTAAAAAAAATAATTATGTGACACCACGTTGTAACATTGAACATCTTTATTATTACAATATCTTATAATAGTCTACACATAATTTGACAAATTAAAAAAATACATAAAATATAGAATAACACATATATTACATTTAATTCTTGTGTATCATTCAGTCTTCAATTTGTCTTATTTAATCGATTTCATGACAAATACTTGATAGTGAGAAACAATTAAAGACTATAATTGTTGCAAGATGCGCAAACAATTCAATCCTTTGGAAGAAAGGAGTCACAACAGGGCTGACCTTAGGTCCTAACCATTAAAATAGTCACTTAGAGTTCCAAAAATTTATGGTCCCAATTTAATTTTTCAGTCTTTAGTTGAACTTCATGCTATGAGGCCCTTTTGAATGGACAAGGTTAAAGGCCTAATATATTTCACAACTCTATCTAAAGTCTTATAAAAAGTTCTAAAAGTAACAATTTCACAAGTCTACATAAACCTTATAGAAAGTTTTAAAATATAACAAATCTTTCTAAAAAAAATATAAAAATATCAACTTATAGGTATAAAAGTTACAATCCTTTTCGATTCTTTTTACTATTTTTTCCTTGACTCTCACCGCCTCTACTCAACTCTTTCTCTCCTTCTCACTCTCATTGTCTTACTGTGGTTCTTTGTCATTATCTCAAACTTTCTTGTTGCCACTTTAAGTCTTCGTTCAATTTATTAATGTGTAACATCTTGACATTATAATTACACTCAATTTACTGTCTGATCTCGCCCGATCTCAAAACTCCTAAAAAAAATCATATTGTAACTTTTTATAAAATGTCTAATACTTATTAAAAAAATTATTATCTTCATAAAATATTAAATGAAATATCATGTAAAATTCTTACTTTAGACCCCAATTTGTGTTGGACCACCCCTGGTTCTAGTATTCTTTAAAACCTACTACTATAATTCAATAATTATGATAAATTATTAATAAATTAAATCTAAATAATATTATTAAAGTGTGATATGTTGACGCTCCTATATGCTTAGAATTGCTTGCTCTACAAGTGTGCTTTGTTTTCAGATGGCCATCAATGATGCGGCAACAGATTGGGGCCTGAAATGTCTGCGTTATGAAATAAGTAGGTTGAAGAATTTTTGTTCATCTGTATTTTTCAATGGCAAGTTATACATAAGTCCCATATATTTTCTTTTTAAGGGGATATATCTCCTCCTCGGGGAGTGAGGGTGGCTATGGAGATGCAGGCGGAAGCAGAGCGCAAAAAGAGAACTCGGGTTCTTGAGTCAGAAGGTAACGAAGTTTTCACCCTCTCCCTTCTTTGATCTATAATTGAGTTTATTTTGTGCAGTCTAATAGTCTACTGAATGGGTAGGGTTAAGGGTGTAGCATACTTGTTATTAAACAAGTATTATTTCATTCACATGGTTTTATAATTTATATCTTTGACATCAGAATTCAATAAAAGAAGGGGTTCACCTAAAGAAAGAATGGCACAAAATCCAAAACATGCACCATTTAAGTATTGAAATAACTCTCATGCCACCATTTAAGCAAGAGCTCCAATGTGTTTACTGTGGATGCCAGAATTCACAGACTACTACTTATTTATATAAAAAAAAAAGGGAATTCACATAAAATCTTCTAGTATACCCCTCAAATTTACAACATATGACACACACTGAGGTATTTTTACAAACAATGCTGGGATGACCATGAACTCAGACCAAAAGCCAAAAAAAATTCTCCACCACCAAAAAGGTGGGATCCAAAAACTAAAACTAGTTGGGAAGATAGGAGTGATGGGAGACGACAAAAGGGGTCCGAGTACTAAGTGTCCCAGAGTCGGTACTCCGAGCTCTCTAGAAATTAGGTTGTGGATGAGTGACTCTTGGTTCTTTGTCCATTTTACTTAGAGAATGGGGCTGTAAGAAATCATCCCATTACCACCAGTAGATATCAATGTATCATCTGTCGCTCCCATCAATGTGCATGAAACTACTGTCTAGATGCAGCTAACTTCCCAATCTCCCTGATGGAAATGTCCATAGGTAAGTTTTCCCTGATATGAATCATTGTAATTTTTGTTACCAAGCTTAGAAATTGCCCCAATCCCCGCCCATTAAAAACTCTAGGGTATGTCAAGGAACAATTCCACTGGTTGCTATTCTCACTTCAGGCTAGGAATGGATAAAAATTGATTGAAAGCTTACAATTTCCGCAAGGAACATGGTACACAAAACCAATGTTCTCCTTTCTGTATTTTCTTGTAATTGATGTGCTTCAATATTTAACAGGAGAAAGGCAGGCAAACATTAATATTGCAGATGGGAGAAAGATCTCAGTCATCCTTGCATCAGAAGCTGCAAAGATGGACCAGGTTAACAAAGCTCAAGGTTAGTTATCATATTCGATCAATCACATTACTGCTTCCCCTTTTTACCTCCCTGGCAAATAGCGCATTTGTGGCTACTATACTGTTGGACTGTGTGACATGGGCTCGGATACATGTGTCATATGCAGGCATGTTTTTGAGCGTGATATTCATCTGATATCCAAAATAGAGTGATACTTTAATGCTTATTTCTTAAATATTTTCAAGGTAAAAATGGTGTTTTATGTGATATAAGAGACTTCTAGTGCAATTTAATGATAAACTTGAATTTCTAGACAAGCTTGCTCAGTGAATGTCAATTGGAACATGTCAGTGGCATTACCACTCCTATTGAAGAATTGTGTATCTGACAAAAGTGATTCATGCATTTTGAAAAGTCAAATAGCATCGGATGTTGGGTAACGATAAATAATAATGACGAAAAATACTGGCAAAATTTTGTGTCCTTAATTTATTCAATGTAAAAGGTGGGGCCTTTGTTTTTTTGGAGGGGGAGGAGAAGAAGGAGCCGATTTGTTAATTTTAAAAATAGGCATACAACTTCCTGTGTAACATTTCCATTGGAGATGAATTTCATTTTTAAGGTGGAAATTTTTGTTTTTGAAGAATGCTGCAAGTGTTATGCACTAGTCTTCACAGAATTTGCCTTTTTTTTGCTGCAGCTGAGGAAGCTCATATATGTTTCTTTGATTGCTTGTAATATGTGATGTTCTTGATGTTCAATGTTGCTCAAGTTGATCCTTCATTCTCTTGACTCCACACCTATTGTGCTTCTTAATCCCTTCAATGATGCCATGGATCATATCGATTCTGCTTTGTGCGAGTGCTGATTTCCCTTCTCGTTGGCAACTTCTATTCTAATTCTTTAACATTTTGTTTTCAAATTAATAAATCAGGAGAAGCAGTAGCCATCCTTGCTAGAGCGCAAGCAACTTCCAAAGGAATTGCTATGGTATCACAGACACTGAAAGAACATGGGGGTGTGGAGGTGAGGTCCTTCAGTAGTTTGATTGCATTTTTTGTAGTTATACATTGATACAATGTAGAAGTCTCTCTTCTTTAAATCTCAAATTAACCACACAATTGATTATCTATAATCCAATTGGCTTGTTATTCAATCGAAGAAATCTGTTGTCGCGCCACAAAGGTCGAGTATAACTATGATGAACTTAGGGCTGAGGGTTTAAACGGTTGTGAATAGGGTGAGACTTTGACCTAAATTTTGATGACCTTTTTCAGTCTTCCATTTTATCTTGCTAGTGAATGTTTGGTTCTTCAGGAAAGTTTTATGGCAATATCCCAGTATTTAGCCATTTAGGTGTGGTTTTTCCCTGTAATTATAAATACAAAAGGGCTAAAGTCGGTGAAAACATTGGTTCACAGCTCTAGATTGGTCGTGAATCATACTTCTAGTGGCCATGAGGGATTTTTAATATTTAGAAACTGTTATTAGAATTATTTGGATAATGCACCTATAAATGTTTTGGGATTTGTAGGCTGCATGTTTGAGAATTGCTGAGCAGTATATTCAAGCCTTCAGCAAGATTGCAGGGAAGGTAAATTACAGTGCTATTAGAAGTTGTAATACACTGCTTCGTTGTTTGAATGATTCATTAAAAATTTCCCTATATCCTATAGGGCACAACATTATTGCTTCCTACTAGTGCTTCCAATCCTGCCAGCATGATGGCTCAAGCGCTTAGTTTATACAAAAGCTTAATTGGCAACAATTCTGGTCATAAGCTTCCAGAACATCAAGGTTGATTCTCCATATGAAGACACTAAGAATAAGACCCACTCCTATTAAAGGAGCTTGAGGTTCTCGTAGATAAAGACAATAAAGCAAATTAGTAATTGTAGAATGTCACAAATTTCATTGAATTTTTTTTTTATCCGTTTTCATCATATTTTCGTAGTTGAAAGCTTTTTGTTTATTTTGGATTTGTTTTTGTGGATAATTATATATTCTACCAAGACAGTATATGCTTGAGTCTTACTGCTGAGACTTGATTCAGCTGATCGTACCTTTCTTTTTCCTTTTTTTGTTTTTTGTTTTTTCTGTGATTGAAAAGCCTACCTTTCTTGTGGGATCGTCTGTTCTGGTCATTAAAAGTGTATTTCCCATCCATCTATACAAATGTCCAATAACTTGCTTGATATTCCGATGGAAGCCTCGTCAAGTACGAAGAATTTTGTTGTGATTGTTTACAAATTCTTGTACCAAAGTCACAGCTCGTACGGTCTTTTTTTTTTTTTGGTTTAACAGTCGGGTATATTTATGCCAACTTACATATATCTCGAATAATTTTTTCTCCGGTCCGATCAATGGTTAGGTTTTTCATGAGAAATAAATCTCTCATAATCTAGTTCCAAGGAATTATCAAAATTTAAACTCAAGACATGTAAATTTTACGACTTGTTGTGTTATCACTTAAGTTATCCACAGGGAGTTGCTCATGCAAATTCTGCTCGTTCTTAAAAGTTAAACTCAATTGAACTTGGGTAACGCAACCTTGGTTGGACATCATTTTCAATTCTCGTGTCAAAATTCGAGTTAAATTCAAAGAAGGTATTTAACAAATCAACCAAAATTCAAATTAAGCTATGAAATTCGAACCCATATTTTGGTCGGTTTGGATTATATTGTTCCGAGTTACTTGTAAATTGATCCATCTTACTTGCACCCCTAATAGAACATGATAGCCTAGTAGTTTGATTTGTAATTTGTCAAAATATCTAGTTTGTGGGTCAAATTACTTCTTTTTATGCCATATTATAACATAATTTTTCTAACTAACATACTTTTTCGATAAGTAACGTTGTTTTACCCATAATTCTCGTATAATAAGTCGCACGATGGGACAGTGATATAGTTGAGTGATATCAAACTAAGTCGCATTCATTTTTAACCATAGAAATAGAATATAGTTGTATAGGACTTAGCATCAGCTTAATTGACAAGTTTACGTTTTTCCTCTTGGCCTTATGCACAGCACTACTAGTCGGCAAACCAGCCGGCCGGCCGGCAGCGAAACAGCACTTTTTGTATCCCATTCCCACTTGAAGGTCATCGAAAAAGTAGTCCATTGACATTAATTATGTTCTTGATGTATTAGTCTTAATATATAACTTGAACATTGAATCTATATTTAACAATTACAATGACGTTGTTGGTTAGCCGGCATCATTTCAAGATTCAGCTCCTCTCTTTCTGATGACAGTAGCAGTTAAATATGCGCTTGTCAATGAATCAGATTTTGATCCGAATCTGAATATAAATTGATATTTTTTACTTATAATCTGAATCCGTATTTGATTTTGATATCTTGTATTTATTTGATTCGGATTTAAATATATTTATATCCGATCAAATTATATTCGAATTTGAATTGTTTATATATTTTTATATAAATATTAAAAAAATTAGGTGATTATTTTAAAAAATTTAGTTTTTGTTTGGGTAACTATTTGAAACTCTTACAAGGGAGGGGATTATTTAAAAAATTAAGTGATTATCATCGGATTCATATCGAACTTTAAAAATTATATTCAAATTATCGAATCAGACTAAATCCAAATCATTGATAGGCCTAATTCCATCTAGTAGTCGAACTATTCTTTTTTCTTATTTTTTTTTTCATAGATCGAATTCTTAAATAGAAAAACCTGATTGACAAGTTTAGTCATATCCTTGACAATATGAAACTTTTGAGTTATACAAAAGAGTGGGTTAGTAAATTTGTTAATGGTCAATTACATCTCTCGGTAACATCCATTGAACATTAAATGAACAAAGATGGTACCTAATACACAAAAGACCCACAGATCTATTGTGGAATGTGAAATAAATAAGTAGCAAACGACCTTAAAATTCAAACCTTTTGATGGGTTAATATTCCATCTTCACCTAAATCAAAAGTCATGCACATTAATCCATCATGTTTTAATTTTTGCCCTTTAATTGAAGGTAACGTTTTGGTGCAACGGTAAATGTTGCTCTATTATAATCTGGAGGTCATGTCAATCACAGAAATAACTTCTCTACTTGCAAGGATAAAATTACGTAAATTTAACCACTCGTAGACCTTGTACTAATAGAAGTGTCATACACCCTTTTAATTGAAGGTGAAGGTGATTTTCAGTTGATTTGCCCCTTGCCTAAAGCTCTGCCGTTTCCAACCAATACAACTTGCCTGTAAAGCTATTACCTGGTTTGTTCAACAGGTCATTTTACATCATTTAATGCACTTATTCAACAATGACTATCTTATGACTATTGCTTAGAACAGTCCACTGAATTTAAACAATCATCTGGTTGTAGCAGGTGCTTTGAAATAGTTACACTTCAATATCTGTTAAGCCACCCCTTAAATCCCATATCAAATTGGATAAACACCCCTTCTTTATGAATCACAACATTAATACACTAGAGTAGGAGTTGAGCCATTATTCTATATCGGGCGCTTCAAGGTCAATATTGCAAGCCAAGTTATCTTAGGAGTAAGTCAACACTCATACATGAAGTTGAAAGGAGGCTAATCAGAGAAAAAAGACTTGACTAGGGTACGGGAAAAAATTCGGTAACATACTTTTAAAAATTACTATTTTAATGAATATTTTTATATAACTCTATGGGTATTTTTATCAATATTGTAATAATTATTTTTTTCATTTTTTCCGTACAAAACAAATTACCACTTTGGTAAATAATTTATTATATTTGTGTTTATTTTTATCATTATTATGATAACTATTTTTACCATCTTTAGTATCACATCAGTGATAAAAACACCCACAATGTGATAAATGTTGGAATGGTTCAGATTTTTTTTTTTTTTTTTTTTGAGTATGGTAGACAACTTCAAGAAATAAAAAAAACAAAATGATTCTTGTGATGTGACCCTCATCGATTTTTTTACAACACGCAAAATTATTGTTATAGACAATAATTGATCAATCGTCAAAAGAAATTGTATAGTAAAGAATTTGCGTCGGACATAACATGTGGAGCAACAAATTTTGTTGGCCCAAACCATGCCAAAGAGTTATGTACAGAGTAGATGTAGAGCCTGAGGAACCGCTGCATAAATAACAGCTCCCCCTTTGGTTGTGTTTAGGAGGCCTTCCAAAAATGTCATTATTAGTTCATGGTTGTTTTTGTTTCACAAACTACACAACAACAATAATAAACCAAAAACTACATGAAACTTTGGGGAAGGCCAAACACATAACAGCAAAGCTGCGTTGGTTTCTAATTAAAAACCACGATGGCAAGCTCATCGTAGAAGTAATGTTGACAAACAAAATTGCTGATGACACATTATGCTTAACCAACAATTTCACTTGGCAATATCGAGATTTGGATGTCTCCAATATACTTTTTTTCATTTTTTTTAACTGAATATAATTAGATCCCCTACCAATACACGTGGTGGAGATCTATTGGAAAAAAAAAAAACAGAGAGATTGTGTTGAAAAGAGTCGAATTTTGAATAATCTACCAAACACATATAATTGTGAAAAAGAAAATCCTAGATGAAGAGTAATTGCTGATCTTATTGGAATCGAGGAGAGGAAATTGGGGGTGGGCTTGGAAATGTTTATATCGAACTTTGAACTGGGTTGAGAAAAATGTGACAAAGATTTTATAATTTACGACTAAACTACTATGCATACTCTGTCTAAAAAATAAATAAAAAAAATAAACCCAAAACGCATGGATGTATCAATAATGCAGAGTCATGTTATGGCCCGAATGTGTATTCCTTTGCTACTTAAAGGCTTGTGTTTTAGACAAATACAATCGGAGTTAAGCATAAACATAGTTCGTCCTCTTACTCTAATCACTTTGTTCCCCCCCCCCCAAAAAAAAAAAAAAAAAAAAAAAATTCCCTTTTGGTTATGAAAATGTTCAATCATGCGCCAGAGTTTTGGGCAATTATGGGTGGTATATCCGACCCATCAACAGATGTTGTGGCCAGTTACAGATAAGAATGGGCTTGTCACAACAATGCATATCCTCTAGACTTCTGAACGTCAGATTCGAAGGATTCAGCTCGTCTGTTGCTTAGGAGGAACAACAAGTCCTGTTGTTCGGGAGAAACGGCACCGTTTGGTGCCTTTTTTAAAAAAACATCCAGACCCAAAACGGTACAGTTTGGTGCTCTTTTTAAAAAATCATTCAGACCCAAAAAACGGTGCCGTTTATTGATTTTTTTTAGTCCTAAAAGTTAACGGTTGGCACCATTCTTGGCGCACTCTTACACAAAAACGAGTCGTCAGGTTTTGTGATTCTTGGTGCATAGCTGGAATACCAAGAAACGAATCAAGATTTATTTATTCAATTTTGCGATTCGTTTCTTTCGTCCATTTCTGGTATTCTTATGTCCATTTCGAATATTTTTAAGTAGATATATATATATAATCTGTTCATTTATTCATATATATATAATCTGTTTTTAAGTGGATTCGACATAGATATTAGTCTGTTCATATATATATTCATAAATGTAATCTGTTTTTAAATGGATTCGACGTAGATATTTATCTGTTTATATATATATACACACCCACAATTTACATTTTTATTAGTTGGTATATTCTTGACCTAAATTTAAATTTTAAAATTTTGAATATTCGATTATTTTGTTGATTTCTTTGATCATTATTAAATTTTATGATATGATTTAGTTATGATGTTTTGGTTTGTTATTAATTTATATTGATAATGGGTTCGAACGTCATCGTCATCTTCTCCATGTAAT